TTTTGAAACTGTAAGGTAGACATCTCCGTCTTTACTACTTAGTCAGCCAAGTACTATCTGATGCAATGACTGCCTAGACCTGACAATAACCAGGATCGGTCAGGAATCAGAGACTATAAATCTAGCTGGCCATCCAGACCTGCAATTATGCATTAAAAATTTGATAAACTACTACATGAATAAACTATTACCTCACTGAAGAGTTAAACAAGAGCAAAGAATATTGAGAAAAGCAAGATATCGCAAAAGCTGGATCTTAATATATTTGAAAAGCAGCTGGCCTATTTTCAATCACATTAAATAGCCAGGAATCTGAAGCAGAAGCCCAGACAGGCTCAGATTATTGTAGACTTCCCTTACTGAAAACCTCTTCCATTTAAACAAGTATATTCATTTAACTTTGACATGAAACATTAGATGCAAATGCAAGCTTTTTGAAACTGTAAGGTAGACATCTCCGTCTTTACTACTTAGTCAGCCAAGTACTATCTGATGCAATGACTGCCTAGACCTGAGACAATAACCGATCGGTCAGGAATCAGAGACTATAAATCTAGCTGGCCATCCAGACCTGCAATTATGCATATTAAATTTAAAAAAAAAAAATATATATATATATACAGGTACACACAGCTTACTATCCTGATTTTGGAAAAGGAAAAAATAATTATCCTCACTATCAAAGAAACTGCCAGAAATGCCAAGAAGCAGCCCTGAAACCACTTCAGAACGGAAGACTGCATGATCAGCCTCAGTCTCTTGCACTATTAGATGATCAAAATGGACATCTCGGCATTTAATTATTGCAGCAATGATTTAAACCTGCTAGGAAAATTACACAAAACAGTGCCCATTTCACACACACTGCTGGATCCCTTCCATCCATGCTGTCTTCTTGTCCGTCTCTGACAAAAACCTAGCTAAGAGACCTAGGAACCATATTTCAGTTGTAAAGCAAATAGGTAGCAGTCAGATGTGAATGACTCCTCCTTGAAGGTATTAGTTCTAATTGCTGCACTTAATGTTAACAGCAGTATCTTATTTTGGTAAGAGCAGTTGCATGCCACTATAAAACTTTGATATTACCTGTAGCCCTGGTAGATGAAAGGGTACAATGTGGAAGTTCAGACACCTCAGTCAATCTCTGAGCTTGGAGAAATGAGTGCTTAAAGCTAGTGTTAAATTCCTACATGTGAAGTGACAGACTTATTTAGACATAGAAATGAGTTTTTTTATTCTAACAGTATCACTAGAGTACACGAGGAAGAATCTGCAATCTTTTTCATTCCTTTCTGGTATGACAATAAGGCATTTTGTCTTCATGCAAAACCCTATATACTTATTTCCCTAAGCAAAAAAAAAAAATCTCACATATTAAATGTATTCATGAAAGTGGATTCTGTATACTAGAATCAGATGCCTGCTTAATTATTTTACATCATATCATTTTATTCATTCTAAGTAAATAATCTGTGAACATGATTATATGGATTGTATGAACAAAAAAGTGAACCACAGCAGACTGGCATGCAGTTTATACACAACTTTCATGAACCTGCTTAGAAGCATTCTTGCACCTGCAAGAAATCTTAACTCCTCTTAAAAAAAGTTATCGTTGAGTACTCTGGGCCTTGAGGACATTAAAACCGTCTTTCTTTTACATGCTGAGTGGAAGCCTTGCAGCAGCTGAAGCAATAAATATTGACAGCTAGCTGGCAAACAGCAGAGATACCAGTGCTCATAGTCTCCAATTTCACCTGCATCAGCAAAGACAGACCCTAGAAGGGACAGCGTAACTAGGGCCTAATATGTTCATCTGTATTACTGCTGCTTTTTTGCCTGTATTAAAAGCATATTTTCCCCTCAGTAAGACCGTTGTGCCTTTGAACGTACCTGCTTTCGTATATCACCCTGAAAACCTCAATTATCTATTAAATCTTATTGCAACATACAGATATATAGTAACAAAGCTCAAACTCTGGCTACAAATCCTAGTGCAAGAAACTTCCAGCATTCAGTTCCATCCTTTCATGCTCTTACATAGCTCAGCTCCTTCTCCCCTAACTGATGCTCTGCAACTTTTGCATATGAGGCCACACATTGCTTAACAAAAACTAAACAGTCACCTTACAGCAAACATGGGAAAAGCTGTATGCCAAAATACGAGATACTCATGACAGCACATAAGAGATGGAAGAAATAATTAGTAAAGTGGATTTTAATTAAGAAATTGTATTGGTGACTTGAGTTCTACTTTTCTCTCAGTTCCCATCTCATATCCTCTACTTTGAGGCAGGATTACAGAAGCTGTAAGGAAATGCATTCAAGCTTGCTTAAATGAAAGAAAATTAAAAACAAAACAAAACAAAGCACAAAGACTACAAAATTCCATCTGTCTTCCCACTGGAAGAAAGGTATCTTTCCAGCAATTCACTCCGCAGTTCAGACAAACTGTAGATTGATAGTTGCTTTTTAGCAGATTTCATCCTGCTGCCAAGCTAAACACATTTTTAAACTGAGATTTGAAACAAAGACTTCTTAGTATAACCCAAAATGTTGACCACTGAGTCGGACCTAGTCCTCAAAACTTCAGCTTATGATTTCATCTGAAGCCAATAGGTGTGTCTGTGCAGGGGTAAAAATCTATGATTATGGTCTATGTTTAGATTTGTAAGAATTCATCAACATACAGTGTCATCATTTTCTCCAGCACAGAGCTTCACTGGGGGGAGGGGTGGAGACATCCTCTACACTATAAACTCGCCTGCTTTCAAAAGGAAGATATGAATCAAAACAAGCTTACCCTGTACTTCTAGCAGGCACTACTCTTAACATGTTACGTAAACCAATACTTGTGGAGATTCTTCCTTCTAGCAGATTTTCCTTCCTCTTTGTCTACCACCAAATATATTTAATTTTGACAGTAATATCTGATTAACAACATTAGCAAGCCTTTATAGATGGCAGGCACTCCCCTTTGTATGCATCACTTACTCAAAAAACTGCAAACCCTTTAGTACTCCACATCAGAAAAAGTACCACGTAAAATCTAAGACTACCATAAATGCACAGTTCAGTAATAGATAAGCATGCATGAGCCAGGTCTATTGCCTAGGTGTACAGCATCTAGAAAGCAGCAATGCACTGAGTTTTGATTTAAACGGAGTAAACTAAGATTTCTGCTCTTACATTTTAATGTTGTCAAGTCAGTCCATTTGTATTATTTGCAAGATGTCAGTTTGGGCATGGAAAGGAAGTAGTACTTAGTCTATCTAGTGAATCCTCAGATTCAAAATCTCATTTTGTTCAAATGGCTGCCCTTGCCTAATTCTTTCAGTAAGCGGAACTGAAGCCAAAATATTCTTGAACAAGATGGTAGTATTCCCTATACTCTTCCCATACGGAGATGAGATAGCTCTCAAGCCTCACTGTTTGTTCTTTTTTGGAATGAGTCCAAGTTCGCTTCAGTGAAGATGCTCACCCCATACAGTCGGAAGAAAGGCATTAAGAGAACGGGAAGTCCCCAAAAGCAGAGGAAAAAGCGTGATGGAGGACAGCAGCAGAAAGAGTTAATAATAAGTTTATCTGTAGGGAGTTTTATCTGTGGCATTTTATCCAATTTGATGCCACGAAGCATAGAACAAAGACACAGACATGGCTTTTTAAATTTAGTAGACTCAAACAGACATTAAAAAGAAACTGGTTCTCATTCACTTTTAAGGATTTCACCTTAAGGGAAGGTCTTTCAAGGATGCACATGGTATTCTTTGGCCTTTTGAAAGCAAAATCAATTAAGCACAAGACTCAGTACTTTTAACGAAAATTTATTTAGGAAAGCCAGAAGAAAAAGCAAGCTAAATCATGAAACTGAAGTTAATAAATATTTGTCAATAGCACTGACAAACTCACTACAAACAAGTGCCAGCTTTTGCTAGAGATCTGAGTTTTCACTGGTGGTTCTGCAGTGTCTCAGATCCAGGCTGCTATGGCAAAACAAAATGAGAACTCTAAAGGGACCTTGTTGTTTTCATATGCTATTAATTCAAGAGCTTGGGCAAGAGGATTATTGATATTTTGAAATACTTAAAAAGACCAACCACAGCTTCCAACACAATTATATTCTGCAGGGCTAGGAAACAGTATGTATGCTAAGGTATATAACTCTGAGCGCACAATATTGTTATGCTTTATGGAATAATTTCAGTTCTCTATTATGTGTAAGACAATTTAATGCTGCTTTACTACATGTGTCCTTCTAGTACTCAAAAGAAAATCTGCTGGGCTTCCTTGTAATTTTTCTGCAAATGCAGTATCTACCAAAACTAGAGAATTTGATAGAAAATATCTTCAGTCTTTGAAGGAGCTTAGTAGTCCATAACAACAGTGCATCTAGAGAAATACCATCAAAAAAAAATCCAACAACCCATTATCTGGAAGAAAGTGCCCATATAGTCTTCTCAACAGGAAGAGGTGGAAAAAGTTACCAGCTGAAGATGTACAAGTTAAATCACAGCTCGGGGAGGTGGAACCCTTTCGTTTCTCTGCTTTTAGCCAAGCCTCACTGGCATGACGTATGACCACTGGACCTGAAGAAGAAAGGAACTCCCAAAGCATTCAGAACCCACTTGAATCTTCAAGCTTAAGGAATGCAATCATGCAAGTCCGAGACTAAGTAAATCCCTTAGCAATGGGTTGTTAGAAATACGTTGTTCCATATTCAGTATGAAAGCTGCACTCCGGTGCATTTTTATTCACCTGGGTCCATAGATGCACTGCAAAAAGAATCCTGCTACCACATGCTAAATGGTATCATGCAACAAACAGGAGACAATGAGCAAGCCATCTCACTCTTTCCACTCAGCACAAGACATCAAAAAACCTTAAACAGTAAACCAACATCAACATCACACTTTCAGCACCAAAGCAGCAGCGAAAATGGCATTAAACTTTATTAGGATTTTGCATAAGAGAGATTATATTCCATTAAAGAGATTATCCACCTTGTAACATTGTCTTGATAGAGGACTTGCATATGCCACTCTTCCCTGCATAACATCTCCCAAATGGTGACCTGTTAAATCTGCAGAAGGCATATAACTGACACATTAGCTTTTAAGCACAGATGAGACCAAGAAATTCTGACAGTATCACAGCACTGCCAAAATTTACATTTGTAGCTTTTCTTAAAGATTAGCAATCTGATCCTCAGGTACTTATTTTCAGATTTCGTTTAAAAATTAATCTTCAGTCATCATGGCAGCAGATAACTGAATCATAACAGCCTAAAAAACAAACAAAATACTCCAAACATTATGGTGGATTAAAAAAATCCAACTACTTTTGAATTCTCAGTCCTCTCTTACACTGATATGCAGAGACAATGCTGCAGCATTCCAAATTCTGCAGTTGGTTACGTCTCAGTTACAAACTGAGTCTCTTCAAATAGTTTGCTAACATTTTATTTAATTAACAGAACTCTGAAAACATTCAGAGAAATTATAACTTTTGAGTTTCACTGTTTTATTCACTTGCCTAAGATCACATGGTTACTAGACACATGCATGCTAAATATATTACATGCTATCATGGCAGCAGGTCAGTTCTGTACAAGCTGCTTATATTAAATTTCTCCTATAAGCAACATTAGAGTTTAGCTCTGCTACAGCAAATATAGGAAGAGGCTTCACATTCCAAACAACCATCTGAAGGGAAAAGATATGCCAACAGAGTACTAAGTATGCCCGTGCTACTTTAACCCATTTACTGTTTTAAAACACACCTAAGCCTTGCATTTATGTTATCTATATTATTAATTTTTAAGATTCAAAACTCCAAAGCTAATTGGTTTGTCTTACCAACGAAAATTTAAGGAAAAGGTCACAAGATTATAATATGTGACTAGTAAGACTGACAAAATTCAAAACAGTACATGTTATTAACTGGATAGGACATTCAACTACATTTGAAATGTTTTATTAGTTTATTAAACCAACTGGGTACACAGTAACTACTAAAACACATTTTAAATAAGTATCACTGCATACTGTTCTAATAATTTCATAGCAGATGTTCTCTAGAAAAGATACTGACATACAAAAAAACCCCAAACATTGTCTCTACATATATTGACATCTCTAGAAATACTCACACTGGCATATAAAAAGTACAAACAAATCTGAGTTGTCAAAATTAATGGAGCGCACACTAGAAATATTTTATCAAACTCTGTCACAATGCTTTCCTATGTCATACTACAAAAGAGGATACCACTACAGAGAATGCCAGCCTAATGGGGAAAGGAAGGCAATCTCTTCTAAAAGCTGCCTATAGACGTAACACAGGGGGACATTTCAGATAACGTTTCTTGGCTTCAGACTGCTGCCTTGGAGAATGCTACAATAAAAGGGGAATAGACTTGATGACAGAGGTCAAGAGAGATTAGAAAAGTATCTCTAAGCTGCTGGAAGAATACACATTAATCCTTTTCTTTTCATAAGCACAGAGGAAAGCCTAACTCAAACTCAAATACTTATCAGTAAGTGTAATCACAGTAAGCTTCAGCACTGAAGTTGGAGGCAGGGGGAATCATACAGACCTTTGTAAAATATTTAGGCAGCTGGCCCACATAAAAATCTCAGACTGTTGCTACTCTAGTGAAACCATATCCACAGTGGATAGCTTAAAGTTACCTCATATACCTACTTAAGCTGCAATTGCATGTTTGCTGCATGCTTCTACATACATACTACTATATACTTCTACATACTACCCTGATCTTGAATTTAGTTCAAACGCAGAGCCATGTTGGGGGCAGGGGGGAAAGGTCAGATTTGGTTACCTTCAGGAAACACAAAAAGAGTTCTGGGAAAAGAAAATCTCAGGTAATGTTCCTCTTTACTGGCTGATTCTTCCATGTGCCCTAAAGAGCTGCATGTGGCCAAATGAGTTGGTGAGAAGCAGAGACAGATGGCAACATGTGATCTGGAAGGAACACAGGGTTTTACACCCAGTCAGAGATGCAAAACCAGAGCCCTGAATACTCATGATTCTTTTGGTGTAGCTGACATCGTCTGATTCCTTATCCAAATATCAAGATTTAGGCTGGCCTCTAATCCAAGGATTAATTTTGGTTTCCTCTTTATTTTGAATCCGGCTTTCTTCCAGAAAATGCTATTCCTTCTCACCTCCAAATGAGTGAGTAGGTCCATTGACAGAATCATAGATCCATCGTATTTGAGAAGTCGTGGCAGTCCAGTGACGTTCCCACTGACTGGAAAAGGGGAAACATAACCCCCATTTTTAAAAAGGGAAAAAAGGAAGACCCAGGGAACTACAGGCCAGACAGTCTCACCGCTGTGCCTGGGAAGATCATGGAACAGATCCTCCTGGAAGCTATGCTAACGCACATGGAGGACAGGGAGGCGATTCCAGACAGCCAGCACGGCTTCACCAAGGGCAAGTCCTGCCTGACCAACCTAGTGGCCTTCTATGATGGAGTGACTACATCAGTGGACACGGGAAGGGCTACAGATGTCGTCTGTCTGGACCTCTGTAAGGCCTTTGACACGGTCCCCCACAACATCCTTCTCTCTAAACTGGAGAGGTATGGATTTGATGGGTGGACTGTCCAGTGGGTGAGGAATTGCTTAGATGGTCGCATCCAGAGGGTAGTGGTCAAC